GTTTTATCTCTAATCCTATTCTTTTGAGTATTTTATATTTTTTTATATTATATTAATATGGTTATATAATTGACTGATTAGAGTATATGCTACTTGATTAATTATTATAATATATTATTAGCTAAGTATTTAAATTCGTAATTGTTTATCTAAACTTGCTTGCGGTAGCCACTAAAGATTAATGATTATAAATGGGTTTTTTTTAATCCCTTGAAAAATATAGAACTAGATTAAATTCTTTTAGCATCTAGGAGAGTTGTTTATCTTCAATTATTTTTCTATCATTTAATGTTATTATTGGATTAAATCTAAATAGCGTCTACTAGGTTATTTAATAGTTAGGGATTAATCAAATAGCATCTATTTGATTGATGAATCACCAAGAAAAGATTAGAGATAACATACATGTTGTTATCTTATGGTGACTATTCATAATAAGAATGGATAAATACGTGAATTGATGATCAATGATTGAACCGTAAACGAAGACCAACCTTTAACCAAGGCTTTAATTATTATTGTTATCTTTTTACTTGCTTTAATTATATTTAATACTCTTAACACAAAAAACCCTCTTTTTAAGTTTCCTTGTACTCGGGACAATTAGAAAATAAAGAACATTGATTGAACCGATTCTCTGTGGGATTGACCCTTACTTATCTTAACTACAGTCCAATGATTAAGAGTAGTAAGGAAAAAGAAAATAAATAAATTTATTAGCATTACAGCTTGTCATTACTCCGTTTGGACGATCGCCTTTGGTTTAGTAATGATCGATGTATTATACTACTCATAAAGGTCTATTACTTGCCCTAATGGTTAGGTATAGGTCGCTCATTTCAACGCCATCTATATTTTTTAAGCTAGTTGATTCGAAAGGTGAGTTGTTAAATATTCTTTAGTGGATTTTGACTTTCATGACCACTATTTTGTTGTCTTAATCAACTTACACCCTTTGTGGGTTCTATATTAGAGTGTAGTTGGACCTCATAATCCGACTTCCAACTCATCTCACATTGCCAGTTATGCTTTCAAAAATGAATTACTTGGAGCTCTTGATTTTGTATTGCGATTCAATAAAGCAATCACATCATCCTATCTATTTAAATTTTGAGAATATGTCAATGGTGTTGCCTACAATGCCTCTAATCATTGATTTTACCCGATAGAACTTATATCGAGCTCCAACTATCCTTAGAGAAAATTCATAGAGAAACAACTACTAGATGGTTTAATTAGTCTTTCTCCCCTATAACCAAGTCGGATGAATGATTTGCATGTTAGTACCATTACGGACCTCCATTAGAGTTTCTTCTAGCTTTGCTCCGCTTAGACATAGTTCACCATCTTTTGAGTCCCGACATGTATGCTTTCACTTGAATCTTTCTCGGAAGATCAAAGGTTTGTCGGTGGCTCAACTCTCAAATGGATCCCACCGGTTAGCTTCCTTGTGCCTTACAAGTTTACTAGCCTATTGACTTGTACACGTCGAACTCCTTGGTTTCTATTTCAAGATGGGCCGAACAAGGAGCCTATAGGTTGATGAATATAGTGCATGAGTGTCGAGGCGTGTGTTGTTGTCCACAATCACTATGACGACGAGTCTTCGTGGGCATTCGAAGGCCCGAGCTTGGGCAATCTTCTTGATTTACACCGGTCTATGCCCCTAGCCAATCTATAGTTAGGCTAGTTTTGTTCTATATCTTATAAGGCATTCTACGTTTTGGAAACAAAACTTGTTTCTTTGAACATAAAAACCATTTCGATTTATCCGAGGTTTGGAAAAAAAAAAAGGATTATTTCAAGCCATTTTTCTATTTTTTTTTCTAATTTTTTGAAATTTTAATGTTCACAAAATAAAAAATATATCTAATTTACTACCTTTAAAAAACTTTGGGATTTTGTAAAAAAAAAAATTATTATAGTTTAACCACCAAGCTAGTCGCCTTATTGTTAAGATGAAAAAAAAATCGTGATGGTATGCCAGTCCAAATCAATAAAATGATAGGGTTGTTGCCTAAAAGACCATCTCACACTATTCGTTTTGTTAATTTCTTTTTTACATAGCAAGTTATAATTTCTCTAGATGTAATGTGAAAATATTTTTTATTTGTATTTTATTTAATATTAATGAAATTACTTCTTTTTTTTGTTAAGTTTTATTCATATTTTGAGTTACCTTAAAAATAGAAAGTCAATTTTGTAGTTTCATGGCACAAATTTTTTTTTTTTAATAACTCACACACCCAACACACATGCAAGTCTCTTAACAATACTAGTTTGCTAATATTTGAACCTATGACCTCTTGCAAGAGACCACTACTACTCGGACTATAAACGTTTTTATTCATGGCACAATTTATTGTTGTATTCTTGGTTTTCCATGGATTTTGATTTTATATATATATATATCGTTTTTATATCCGTATATTTAATATTAATGAAATTACTTCTTTTTTTTGTTAAGTTTTATTCATATTTTGAGTTACCTTAAAAATAGAAAGTCAATTTTGTAGTTTCATGGCACAAATTTTTTTTTTTTTAATAACTCACACACCCAACACACGTGCAAGTCTCTTAACAATACTAGTTTGCTAATATTTGAACCTGTGACCTTTTGCAAGAGACCACTACTATTGGACTATAAACGTTTTTATTCATGGCACAATTTATTGTTGTATTCTTGGTTTTCCATGGATTTTGATTATATATATATATATATATATATACGTGTATTACCCTTTTTGTAATGCTTTTTCCATTAAGGTTTTTATCATTTTAACGGGAGCGAGATACATATATGTTTTTAAGAATTCGTCGAGTTTAAACCTCAAGATTCAAAAAATAGCAATTGGTTTCTCGTCTATTCGAAGCATGTCACATTTATTCCTTTATTTGCAAATATTTTAGGTCCTTATTTGTTCTTGAAAAAATACAATTTAGTCATTGTAATACTTTTTAAAATTATTTCAACCATAAGAGCCATTAATCCATTTATAAGAAGAATTATTTGAACCGGAGGCTCTATCGACCAAAGAAAAATGCACCAAGACAAGAGCATGTAATAATCGCTAGAAAATGTTAAAATTTCATTGTAGTTCTTTTAGTTTTCAAAAAAAAAAAAAAGTTAAACTTTTAATCATGTAAGGATTGAAGGAAAAGAGAAATTATTTGAACCACGGATGTTTTGAATCATAGACTCTACCATAAGAATTACGCCATCATAAAGAAAATTATACAATCAAACAATCTATACCAATTAAGGGTTGTTGTGAGATGAGATACTTCCTCGACACATTGGAACGGTCACCTCACACGAGGGGCATTGGTAGCTTAGAACAAAGTTTCATCTCTAATAGTCTAGATCATGGTTTTAAAAAATGGCCATTACGTATCGTAATGGCCGCCTCGTTATCGTTTTTTGGCATTATGAGTGCCCCAACACCATTTCACACGGATAACGACGGATAACTCGTTATTTTCCATTACATAACGGCGTTACAAAAAAGGCTAGAATTTCAGTCATTTCGGTTGTTGAAATTTCAACAATAATGAGGGGTAGAGGTAGAGGCGAGAGATGAGCGAGTAGAGAGGATGAGAGGCAACACTCGGGTAGAGAAAAGTGGCGAGAGAGGATGAGACGAGAGAGAGGAAGTTTTGGGTAGAAAGGATGAAGCAGAGTGGGAGGAAGTTTTAGTTGCTATCAAATGAGAGGAGAGAGGAACTTGGAAAGACGAGAGGCGATTTGGGTGATATCAAATGATAATAAAAGAGAGAGGAACTTGATAAAAAGAAAAAAGCCTTTTATTTTGAAAAACAAGTTACCACATGAATGATTTGACATCAAATGCTTGCATTTGCAAGTTTTGATTGAATAAATTATTAATTAGTCCTCTTATTTTGAAATAATAATCTGGTTAGTCCTTCTATTTTAAAAATCAATAATTTATTTATTTTTTTCATTTAATATTTTTTTAACTTATATATTTTAAAAATACATATATAGAAAAAGGAAAAAATAAATTTATACCATAAAAAAGATTGATGAAAAAATATTTTATATAATAAAATATAATACATTAAACATGATCAATACTTGATTAAAAGATTAAATAATTAGTTTTTAAAACGTTAAAAGCTAATTAGTTCATTTATTAAAACTAGAAAGACTAATGTATGATTTAATCTTTTATTATTCTACTTTAACTGTCTTGCATGCACAAATTCAAAGGCTCCAAAGTAAATGTTGCTTTAATTGAATAAATTATAAATTAGTCTTTTTAGTTTGAAAAAAATAAATTAGATGGTCTTTATTGTTTTAAAAACTTACTATTATTTTTTTAATTTTATGTTATTTTCTAATTTGATTTTCAAAACTACTTATGGTTGTAATTTTGATGGATAAGAATCATAACATCGAGAATAGAATGATAACTATTATTATAATTCACCACAACAATTATTTTAAAGATGAATATTTTGTAATGTGTTTATTGAAATTGTAATATATTTTATTTTTATTTTTTTGTGATATTTATTTATTAAAAGTGTTATTAACTTTTTTTTTTGTAATAAATTCAACTATTGTCGTATGATATTAAACTATTAAGGATGTTATTACTTATTAGTATGCATAATTAGTAAAACTATTAAAAATATATGAATTAGAATAAACCTATTAACGAGTTGTTAATATATTCCCAACATCAATTACTACGACTGTTATTTTATTATCGTGATAAGCTACGATCGCGATTGCTTTTTCAAATTGCGACTACTATTTAAAATTATGCTCTAGATGGATTTCACAGAGACATGCCTGGTCAACTCCCAGAAGGAATCGTCAAGGGGGAAATGCTACAGGCAGACAAACGTCCCAAGCTATTGAACTTTGTACTGTCTCATTGGCTACAGAGGTTACAAAATCCCGAAAACTTTTTGGCAGCTGATTGTGATTCACTGGTTCATGCCTTTGAATTTGAAGGGCTTGTGATTAAGGACTAAGATCCCAAGTTGGTTTCTGGGTTAACAGAACTGACTCTGGACCAGCTGCCACACTCGATTTTATCGGCCTCGCTAAGCTTTAGTCTACCAAGTCTTACCAACCTGGAGAGCATCTCAATTAGCGAACGTGATAATTTGGAGGGAATTTTTGGGGGAGGAGGAAGCAGGGGAAGAGGAAAAGGAGAGTAGTAGAAACGAGTGGAGGTTAAATAACAGAATGGCCTCTCCCAGTTTGCAAAACCTGAACTATCTGTGCCAAACATAGAAACCTCTTCTCACTCTCCTATGCCATAAGCCTTGTCCAACTAGAAAAGCTAGAAATATCATTCTACCCTATGATAAAAGAAACAGTGTCGGTTGAGGATCGAGAAGGAGCATCAGCAGAGAAGATCGTTGATGCTTTGTGGGTTACTCTGAAAACCTGATAAATTCTAAGATAAACTGGAACTAGAGAACGGTTTGGATGACTAACCTGAATGCCACTGTGCACTCATCTTCTAAGAAACACGTACACAAGCATCATTTCATGGTTAACATTATTTCTAATGGCTGCAAGCATAAAATCGTTGTAATACATAACCTGATGCTAATAAACAATCAGTAACCACATAGATGGTATTCACATGGCCAAACAGTGGTATCGGGATCTATAAAGATCTATAGATCATGCCCAACTTTCTCCTCCTCAACTCTATTGTTTGGGACCTACCATTGCACTAATTAGCTTAATCTTTATTGAAAAGGAAAACTTGATAGCTTCGACCCAATCAACTGGGTAACTAGTCGTAGAAAGATTTTTACTTGAATCAAGGTCCAATACTGATCTCTAGTACCAGTTAGGGAACTCAACTATTTCATATGACTGAATCTGAGGCTAGATAAAATATTACTTCCTGTGGGTGAATGTAATTGGAAACATCATACTTTTTTTCCCAGAGAACAAAGAGCAAATCTCACTTGCGCTCCTAACAGTAGTGATTGATGAAGGGGATCCAACAAAACAGAACGCCAACTATGAAGAGTGAGAAACTAAACAAAGGCATGCTTTGGAAAAGGTTTGCAGCAAAGACATTTCAAAGCCAACTCATCCACAAGGATGATCCTAAACAATGAATCCGTTTGGATAGTGAGATTCCACAACATTAAAAGTGAAGCTCCCAGGTTGCTGTTGCAACAGATTTCAGATTTCAAGGGAAGGAAGAGTTACTCAGAGAACTGCTTCCTAACTGAGTTACTGCAGTTGGGTGTGTTTAAGAGTGATCCATCCAAATAACTGCAGACCTCAACATAACATTCAAAGGTTATTCGCACAACTAACATGAACCCATGAAAGAAAAGGAAGCATATTTAATACACAAGACAGTAATTCCAAATTGTGGAATTATTACCTGTTCTACAGGCTGTGGAACAGCCCATGATGAGAAATCCTTTACTTTATCCATGAAAACAAAGGAAATTCTAAAGACAAAATTGTGATATTGAGAACCATTTTCATAATACAACAATACAGCAATGAAACGGAGCTAGATAGATATGTTGATGCCTTGACTGTGACTTCTTAATTAAAAGAAAAAAAGGTGATTAGGAGAGAATCATATTTTCAGCACTTTTGCACAAAGTGACCATTCGAAGACTCAAAATTGCAAACCCAAGGCATTACCCGTTATACCAAGCAATGGCCCCTGTTGCAGTGATTGTTAATACAGCAGTTAATACCCAAAAAAACAGAAAAAAGAAAGAAAATATATATATGTATATTAACATTTATTAAAACAGGAAAAACAACAGATAATTACATATAAATTATGCAAGTATTACCCTATCTACCACGTACCATTTTAATTATTCTCCTTTACTTCTCGAGCAACAATAAGTTCCTCCATATAATCAGTGTCACCAGTATCTGAAGGCATTAGAATCTCATCATCAGTTGTAAAATGGTATTTCTCCCCAATAGCCCTTAAAAGCTGGTATACTTCAAACATAGTGGGCCTCTCCTTGGCAGTTGGCAACACGCAACTGCATGCAACTTTAAGGAATTGGAAAATCTCATTATCAACACCCTTCCCAACCAAAAATTTGTCTACAGCATCATGAAGTTGAGAGTTGCTTGACAGCTGAATGATCCATTCAGCCAGATTTCCCTTGAAGCTTTCAGGAGCTTTAGCCACATGGGTAGGTTTCTCCCCGGTCACCAGCTCGAGAAGCACAATTCCAAAGCTGAAGACATCCCCTTTTGGAGTGGCTACCAGAGTTCTTGTATACTCTGGAGCAACATAACCCAAATCCCCAAATTCTCCATTCACAAATGTACTCAAATGCGTATCAATAGGATTCATTAGCCTGGCAAGTCCAAAATCAGAAATTTTCGGTTCAAAATCAGCATCCAACAAGATGCACTTAGAGCTAATATTTCGGTGGATGATGCGAGGGTTACAGTTATGATGGAGCCAAGCAAATCCTTTCGCTGCCCTTATGCCAATTTTGAGTCTCAAATGCCATTCCATTGGCTTCCTGATTTCATCTGCAATATGTATGTGATCATGAAGAGTGCCATTTGACATGTGCTTATAAACCAAAAGCCTTTCCTTATTCGCCACACAGAAACCTAAAAGAGGAACCAAATTGGGATGTTTCACACTCCCCAGAGTAGCCATCTCAGACAAAAATTCCTTTTCTGAGTGCTGAGAATCCTGCAACCTCTTAACCATAAAAGGAGTTCCATCCTCTAGTACTGCTTTGTATACAGAACCTGTTCTCCCTGACCCGATGATATTCTCTTTGTTGAAGTTGTTGGTGGCCTTTAAAAGGTCACTTAATCTCATTTTAGATATTGATTTCTCAAACATGGAAACCTGGAATCACAAAATCTTCTTAATCAATACATCTCTAGTGCATGAGTATGTCAAGAAGGAATAAAAGGATGATCATTACATTTTTCAACATAGACCAAGAATCTCAATTGACTGGCAGAAGAAAAACTAATGATAATTATATAATCACAAAAAGAAAGAAAGTGTGTTAGAATAACTTGCCTTCGTGCCTTTTACTCCCTTTAAACTCTTAGCCCATTTATTTCCCTCAGGATCATCATCCTTCTTCATCTTCCTTGTCACAGACATTTTACGGTAATAAAAGAACATACCAATAGAGACACCTATTGCTGCAATAGTAACCCCGCCAATTGCTGCTCCAGCAATAATTCCAGTGTTGGTTTTCTTTGAAGTGGGTAGGCAAGAGTCAAAAGGCTTCCCACAGAGTCCTGGATTGTTTGCAAAATTATCTACTGAAAAGATATTGACATTAAAAGAACTTGGGATTGGCCCAGACAGAAGATTATTAGCTACACTAAATTCTTTCAAGCGATGTAGCGACCCAAGTTCTGCAGGAATCTGGCCTGTCAACCGGTTGTGGTCGAGTTTAAGGACATTCAAAAAGGTACAGTTTGCAAGGCCCCGTGGAATTTCCCCTGAGAAATTGTTGGAAGAGAGATCGAGAGACGTGGCAAAATGAGTTATATTAGAGATATTTTGTGGAATAGATCCAAAGAGCTCATTGCTGGAGAGGTCTATGCCCGTAATGCTCGTGCAATTTTGAAGGCCAATAGGGAACCTGCCCTTGAGACCCATATCCGAAAGTCGGATATTCAAGACCCTATTCTCCTCCGGATGCCAACATTCAACCCCCAAAAAGGTACAAATGAATCCTTCAGTAGTGTTGTCAAAGTTCCATGAAGAGTTCAAGTAATTACGAGTGTCTATAACAGACGCTTTTATACTCTTCAAGCAAGCAATATCAGTCTCAGTACCATAGCTTAAACTACAGCTAAGCAATAACCAAAGACAACCACTAACAACTATCTTAAACATTCCACTGATCAACATCGTATCAACGAAGATTTCCTCAAATTCTTGTCAGAAACAAAAAATTAAAAACCCCCAAAATTTCTATAAGTTGCATATATCAGAGCTCCAAACTAACTGTGGAAACAGAGGCCGAGCTTCCATAATAGCAATTTCTATAACAAATTCAAATCAACACAAAGAAGAAGCGAAAATTCAGGGTCCACCCCAAGTAAAAAAACTCAAAAGTTTCCAAAATCCAGCTTCCATAACAGCAAAAAAGTTATCGACGAGAAGAAATAGAACAGAGAAAGTGAAAAACAAGAGCAACCCTGATGAGTTGACTTGGATATTAATCGATAAAAACAATAAAAAAAAGCGCACCTGAAAAAGCTATTCACGAACCAGAACTCAAGAGATCAAAGAAAACCCATCTTCAAGTTGAAATCTTTTGCAACAATATTGAACCAGGTGAGGAAAAGGCACGGGTCTTTCCACGGAGAAATGAGACGACCCAAAATAAAGAAGAAAATAACAATCAGGTCTATTGGAAAAAAGTGGTTTTGAATATTCGAAACCACAATTAAAGAAGAGACCAAGCAAGCAAGAACTGATGGCCAAAAACAAGAGAAATCAACTCTAAGGTGTGGGAAATTGAGAAATGGAGGGGTTTGGGCTCAATTGATGACAGCGACTGAGAAGAGAGGGTGGTGGTCTCATAATTTCATTGACTTGATTTTCTTTTCTCCTATTAAATTATTGTGTTTCACATAAGAAAAATATAGTAATGTTTGAAATGAGTTGGTAATTTCCCTTTAGGCAAACAGAGGAAGTTGATTGTTATTTTTATGATTCCCTAACCATTCTGCCGTCCCTTTTTTGGTTTTTCTTCTCCACTTTTACTCTTGTTCAAATTCTTGCTGACAATGGGTTAGGATGGTGATAAGTCCGCGGTCTTATAATGCATTCATCCGGTAAAAAGTTCCGAGTTTATTTACCACAATCTTGATATATATTATGTCCATATTTGTAATAATAAAAAAAAATCTAAATTTTAGTTTTGACAGAGGTGATTTTGGTCTTTGACATTGATGAGGTAGGTGTCTTTCTATATAAAAAAGCGTTGCAACGTAAGTTCAATGTTTTTATGCAAGAAAATATGAATAGTTTACCTATCTTTTTATTTTTTATTAATAGTAAATTGATATAACAATAAATGACATATTTTTCCGGATATTGACGATAGTGATTTGGTTTTACATAGGATTTAGGAATGGTTCATGGTATTTTACAAACAATAGAGAGTAGGTTATAGTAAGACATGGCACACATTGAAGTTTTCTCCTATCATTGACTTTCTAAATTTGACTCTAATTTTTTTTATAAAAAAATTACCCCATCCTTCATTTTTTGTAATTTATTTCAAAAAATAGTTTTATGATGAAAATCATTTAGTAAGATTTATGTGGGGCCCTTCAAAAAATTTGGAATAATTTTAGAGTTATTTTATATTTTTCTCAAATTTCTATATTTTTAATATTCAATAAATAAATAAAATTTTTTATTTTGAAAAAATTTATGGAATTTTTCTACAAAATGGATTAATTTTTTTCCAACATGTATGCAAAATTTCAGCTCAAAAAACCAAAAATTGAATTTTTTTTAGAGGGAAAATGATAGTTAAAAATCATTAGACAAACTAAATATATATAAAAAATAAAAGTTCAAAGATCCCTAAAACTAATAAAAATTTTCAAAGACTTTTCACACGATGACCTCTCGATGATCACAAAAATAAAATATTTCGGTGTTCGAAAATATGGAGTCACCACTCGGTTTTCAAAGTAATGAAAACTAAAAAAAACCTAACACTAGTCTTAACGAGTTATAAGTAAAAGGTTGATTACACAATTAGAAAAGACTATAATCACCCTACTATGCTCTCACAACGAGGTTACTTGACATTTCTAGCCTATAAGAATTCACTCATGCAATTACCTTTTTATCCTAATTTGCGAGTTCAATTATTTGGGCATTTTCCAACTAATCATAAGAGAATTGATTTGGAAACTAAAAAAAAAAAACTCAATCTCTTACCTAATATATCGTTAGGTCGTTAGAGCTCATTTGAGGAGATAAAGATCAAGTTCTAAAGCCCATTCCCAATTAAACCCTAATCTCCACATAAAACATAAAAAATAAATTGAGCTTGGACCTTAAGCCCAAGCTCACTCGCAAACCAATGTAATAAAAAAATTACAACAATCCATAATAACTAATCGAAAAATATAGGCATGGGCCTCAACCTCATATCCTCTTGTCATATTACATTAAAAATACTAAACTAGGCTCCAAAGCTCAAAATCTAATTTAGATTCAATTCCGCATGACAACAAAAGTAGTGGCATCGAAGAATAAAATAAAATTATTGTTGAACCAAATAAATTAAATAATGACACTACTAATAAGATAAAAAAAAAAGGAAAATAAATAAGTAAATAAATAATAATAATAATAAGAAGAAGAAGAAGAAGAAGAAAAGATCATCATTAGAACACAATCGATCTCAAGTCATCAACTTACTCCATCCAAACTCGCCCTTAACTTACATTACACAAAATAAACACACAAAGAGCAATATATAAAATAAAACATGTAATAATCAAGAATTGCATAAAGAAAACTTCATCGGATAAAATAACCAACATGTCTCCATAAGGTCCTTGGTCTATTAATTCATGTTGGCTTATTTTAATTTTTAGAAAAAAAATTGATAGCCTAATGCTAGTTTCATCATCGACTGATAGTTCCTCGTGGACTTTTATATAAAAATAAAAATACTATATAGTATGTCAAACCCTTAACCTTTTTAATATAATAATAATAAGTAAATAAAATTAAAAAATAATAAGGTATCAAAAATAAAAATAAAAACACATTAAATTTTAGAACACACAAATATCACAAAAACTTGAATTTAAACCCTTTTAAATCTGTCAAAAATTGCAAAGTATAGCAAGTTTTATTTTATTTTTTTCAATTTCACCCTTTTAATCAAGAAGTTTTAATCTAATAACCATCTATATTTAATCTTAATAACATAATTGGCTTTAATAGCATGCAAAAAAATCAAGCAATCATTCAATACCATAAAATTTTGATGAAAATTAAATTAAAATTTGATGGCATACAAGTGTAATTATCTAGATCGAATTTCGTGGGTCAAACTGTTATCAAGCAGCAACAATGATGCCATAACTTTTAGAGGTGCATGTAGGTGTAGATGTCGAATTAGGCATTCTTAGTGGTGTTGGAATTATCTCAACTGGACGATTAGGGAGGTCCGGTGTGTGGTCATTGGAGATGGACATGCGGTGAGTGGCTATCGAATTTCTTAAATCGTTGTTTTGTCTTTTTTTTTTTTTTGCTATGGTTTTTCTATCTAGGTGATAGTGTGTATGTGAGTGTAAGTAGGATAGTATCTATTTATAATGCTACATAGGTTAGCTTAGGGAAAATTTTCTTGTTTTAAGTTGCAATTAGGCTAAACATCTAGGCTTTAGCCTAGCATACCTAGGCCTTAAATGCATTTGGGCTTGGTGCATGGCCCAATGCCCTAAGACTCGTCCAAGCTTTATTTTTATTTTTATTTTTACTTTTTCTATGTTTTTCTGATTTGGAATTTTTTTTATTTTCTTATTATATATTTTTTGATTTTTTTGTGTTCTTCTTCTTTTTCGGTAAGCTTGTAAAGAAGAGATGCAAACTAAAAAAACCAAATTGATCAACTACTATAGGGTGATCTTCTAGCTCAAAAATGGAAAAATTGGCCATCTATTACGGGGTGACCTCCTAGGAAATGAATCATTATTATATGGTGACCTCCTTACAACTAGTTAACTATTAGAGGTCGACCTCCCGAAAAATAATTCACTATTACAAGGTGACTTTGACATTTTTTAAAGAAAGGTCATTTCGATCGAGTGATCACATGAACATATTAGCAAAAAAACAAGCTTGTGATGAGTAGTCATAAAAGGGGATGATTTGTTTATTCCCATACTCGAGATTGTTTTATCTATGATAACGACAGATTATGGGTTTTGTAAGAATATTACCTCCAAGAGAAGTCTACGTAGCACCTTTTAAAGCTCGACTCCTTATTTTGAATTTAGAGAATTGGCTTAGATCTTACTGTCTTGGCTACTAGTTTGATAAAGCTTCTAAAATAGGTTAAAGGTCCAGGATATCTCTTTATTATTTTATTTATCTTAATTGTATCCAATTACTATTTTTTAATAATCATGTCCCTCCACTCTTAATTTGCATCTTAATTTTATCCCTCCATTTAATTTTTTTAAGCAATGACATCAATTTCCAATGATGACAAATAGGATGTTGAAATGTGGATTGATTTTTTTTCTCTCAATTTTGAATACTAGTAAAGAAATTAATAACTTAAAAAATTAAAACCCCAAATTGCTTCTAATTAAAAAGCTCGTATATCTTAAATGTGTTCCTTCAAATTTCCCTTTTATCCTTAAATCATACAAAAATCCCTATTATACTTTCTCTCTATAAATTATCGATGATTGATTAAAGAAACGAGACTTAAAATCCCTAAATCATTCAAGAATCCCCTTCTCTCATGCCTAAAATCGATCTTAACTAACCCTAATTTATTTTATCTCTTTAATTATGGCTAATCAATAGAACAAAGTTAAACAATGATCTTTCTTCATCTTCTTTCTTTCTTTGTCAGCAAAGTATCTCTTCTTTGTTTAGTCCTAAGCATTCACTCTTTCATTTATTTTTCTATTATCGTCGCTTTACTTCTCTTTTACTTGCATTTTCTAACACTCAAAATGTAGTTCCTCTCTTCCCTTTTTTTTTATATAGATTTTATTCGTTGTGTTTTTAATTTTACTAATATTAGTGGTTACTCTACATTGTGATTTTGTTAATAATTTTTTTATTTTATTTGTGTTATTTGTTTATGTGACTTGCAATTAAAACTAGTATTTTGAAATGCCACAAGATAA